TTGGGTTGGAAGGTTGGGTTGGAGGGTTGGGTCCGGTTGGAAGGCTTGGTTGGGTTGGGTTGGGTCAGAGCATGAAGGCAACTAACCTCCTTCTTGCTGACGTCCACGTCCTCAGGCAGCTCTTTGGATTGCAGCTTCTCCAGGGAGTACTTGGGTAAGGAGTTGAAGTCCTCTCCATCCTGCTTCTTGGGGGCCTGGTCAGGGTGAAGAGGGAAGTGAAAACTTTGTTTATTGATGTTTACTGATGCAAAGTTACAGACAGAGGTGATGAAATCAGAGTCAATATTTGGCTAAGTCAAGGGAACTGATGTGACTGGTTTATAAAAGGCGTCTTCTGTTTCAGGCATTATTGGTCAGCTGACTGGGGGTAGCAGTCAGTGGCAGTGATGAAACACCCCACATGTTGGTCCTCAGAACTAAGGGTAATATTCAGTATTTTGGTTGTAGTCGACTCCAACCTCAGAACTGGACCTAAGAATTTCCATACTTTCATTTGACCTTTCACCCAAGGTGCTGGATCCTGTCTAAAAGACCCATTCTCTAAATGGCAATTCTTCGAGCAAGGACTCAGCTGAGAGTCAACTTTACTTGAAAGCAGTAAACTTGTCTTTACGACGCAGGTGGGATGCCAACAAACACTATGAATAAAAGATATAATCAGGGTCTGTTTCACAGGCAAATACAATTAAATGAAGTGATTTTCTTGAACCGTTTTCTAGCCATACAGACTGAGTTTGTTTTAAGCCTGGGGGAACCCCTGCATAACAGAGAAAATGACATCCATTACACCAATCTTGACACGATGGCAGGGATAAATATGTAATCGTCTGATGGAAACAGTGTCAACTATTGCCTGAAGCATGTCACTGATCAGCTCACTGAGCCTGAATTAGAAATATGTGAATATAACCCACCGATGAAAATGAAATGAAAAAAAAGAAGATTTTACTGTTTTTTGTTCTCTTCTCAGCCATATACAGTGGAACAATGTTATAACAAGATCCTTGGGGCTTTACAAATTACCATAATTTTCGGAATAATAGGACACACAGAGTATAAGCCGCAGCGAGAAAAGATCTGCAAATTTGAAGTCAGCATATTAGCTGCAGTGGCATACAAGCAGTCTGGAGTATTGCCATATGTGAACAGCCAATTACGCCACTAATATCGCGCAATCTGACCAATCACAAGGCTTTGTTCCAGCAGCCTGCATCGGATTGTATGGCTGTTTCCATGTTACGAGGTGCTTCTCTTAAATGCTGCAACATATGAAACAAAAACACTAACAAAAAAATTCAATTGCAAAAGTTTGACCGGCTGTGCAAAAACCTGACTACAGACACAAACTAGAAGTTCTAAAACACATTTATACTGATGGGATTTAAAATTTGTCGTTGCCAACTTGAGATAAATAAAGTTGAATGTGGACCAAAATTGCTGTATCAGTAGGGAAAGGTCACTCTGCCCATATCGTCACCGTTCTCACCAAGTGACGCAAATGTCCAAAAAATGAATTTTTGTTGATTTCCATTTTTTTTTCAATATTCTCTTTTACAACACTTTGTTTGACCATTTTCACATGCTCCCAGAAAAAAAATCATTAATGTCATAGATCCATTAATGTTGCCAAGGGCAGACATCTTGAAAACAGCATTCTGCGTTTTCACAAAGAGATGCAATGGCTAACGTCCTTAGAACGTGTACAATATGTATTGCAAGGAAACGGCTAAAAAGTAAGTCAACCGGGAATTGTTTTTTTTCACGAAGTGATGTTAACTTTGTTACATTCACAGTTGTGGGCGCGTAAAGACACGATCACCTTCCCTGTGATTATTATACATCGAACAGAAGGACGGTCATGTACAAAAACATAATTTTCATTTTCATGAAGTGACGTTAACCTTTGCTTATTAATTTTGGCTAATTAACCCGTTTTCATATTAATTACTCGGGTTACGTGAACGATTAGACATCAAAGAATCGTTTAAGGGATTTTTGTTACATTAAGTTGCCACAAAATACTAAGTTTTGTAGTTTTTATAAAGGAAAAATTTCTCTGGCGATTATCTCAAAAACCTGGTTTTCCTCAAAAGCCACATTAGCGACACTTCGTGGAGGCGGTGACGATATGTGGTAATACTCTAGACTGATAAGTCACACCACATTGCTGACTATAGAAGTTATCGCACGTACTGCATGCAAAGTGCTAGTACATGTAGAGTATTACATTTGATTAAATTTCACCTTTTGTGAAATTGGAAAGGTCAAATTTTGCTCAAATGATACACAGATGTTAGACGCAAAAATTCAAAGTGCACGACTTTTAGGTCATGCCACTTTCAGGTATGCAATCTTCAAGTGTAAGCGATGCGCAAACGAGTGTTGTTATTCAACTTAAAACTTTCCCAAGTCCTCAACATTACTAATTTTGGCAGGCTGGATTAGTGTTCTTGCTGGATGGGCCGTGCAGCAGTTCTTATTAGTTTTTTTTAACAGTCACCAAAATGACAAGTGAAATAATAAACAACATGGATTACACAACCGTAAAAGATAAAAATGAACAGACACACCGCACCACAGTCCTCTGGACTGGTTTCCTCTATTTTCAAAATGCGAGTAGAGCCACTGCAAAGGGCAACCAATGAATACATGACTACCTTGTCCCATGCCTGGAGCGCTGCTTGCACGTGTGGCTGGCTGGCCACGGCTGCAGCAGCCCGGGTTAGGCTGCGCTGAGGCACATCACGCCGCACCATTTAGTGACTGATTTCACTCTTAAAATGTTGCCATATAAGCCACAGGGACATTTTTCAGCGTGAGAATCACTGTATAAGCTGCCGCTTTTATTCCGAAAATTAAGGGTACCTTGTAACAACATTTACCTTGTATCATCAGTAATGAACAAAAAGAAAAACAAAACCTTGGGACCTAACATTGTCCTTATTATAAATATCACCTTGTATTGACAGTGCTCTTATCTGTATTCGGCTGTACCTCACACTGTCTATCTACTCAACATTACTGACATGGTCACGTCCGAATGGTAGGATTTACATTATTTGACTCGACTGGTGCATCGCATGAGCTGACAAATTCCCAAGATCTTGATAGTGAAACCTCAAAACACCCGAGGCATTACCCCGTCCAGGATTTAAACAGAGCTAATCCTGAAATTCACTTGAGAAAGGAGTCGACGACCTACCGCAAGGCCCCTAATGACAAAGAGAATGGCATCAAACTCTGCATAATCTCTGTAAGTAATAAAGTGCCCCCCCCAAAAATGATGCATGCAAACATGGTCCATTTCAACCCTATTTCGTCGATACTGAATATACTGATACTGATATAAGAAAATGGCCGACAATAACTTCTCAATGGAGAATTTTCAACATATATGTATATTATAATTCCAAAAAATTCCTTGATTTTATCTTTGTACTATTATGCACATGCACTGATCTTCACTTTTCCACAACTTGGACTGTTGACTGTTTAAAAACAAACGTGTGCGCGATGCATGGTTTGAAAGAGCACACTCTCAGCATGATTATGCTGCTTATTTTGTTTCAGTTCCTTCTGATTGATCTGAAGATACAGCTCAGCAAACACAAGCAATCCAAACTGAGTTTGTGCGTCTTTCCAGTCTAATCACTAGACCTATTCCTCCTTTATAATGATGATTTCAAAGGAGGCTGCTGACAGCGCTCGGAACTGGAACATGGCTGAGAGTAGCCTTTTTTACTGAAAAGTGGCACCAGTTTGATTGCTTGTGTTTGGTAAGATATATTTCTGGATCGCTGACTTTAAATATGATGAAATAGCGAGCATCATGAAGCTACGAATGTCCCCTTTCTTACCATGAAAGTTATAAATACCACCAGTTGGCATTTGTATGTTTAAAATGGTCAGCATTTGCCAGCACTATTTTTAGTGGGGAGGGGGCACACGCTATTATGTCTGTATAAAGCCCGCCTCTGGTGCTCTTTGCACCGAAAGCAAAATTCACTTTCAAAATGAATAGAATCCCTTGCTGTATTGGAGGGGATATCTTTTACTGTAGTTGTCCTAGTGACCTACCTGATCAAGTCTCACCAGGGTGGGAGCCGACTGCAAGGTTAGAGTTAACAAGCATCAACAGACGTCAGACGGTAGAGCGAAAAATAAAAGATTAATAGAACAGCCAACAGAGCAAATAAGAAGGTTAGAAAAGCAGCTTCTAAAGGGGAAAGGTTTTTCTTGACAATAACCATACTTCAATGAGAATGATCAAAAAAGTTAGAATGATTTCAGTCCAAAAGATATGTGGACTATTTATGAAACTTGAATGAATTTTCGAACAATTTTTTTGCTTAGAACAGGGAAAGAGTAATCACTGCCAATATAGTTTCTTCTAAACATCACGACACACCTGTGGTCAGTTTCCACTTTTGAGGAAAAAAGACAGTTCACATAAATCGATTGGTAACCCAAATTATGTGCTTGCTATTATTTTTAATTTTTTTCCCGAGTTTTGTGTTTCATTTCCTTACAGGTGCTGACCGTTTGAAAAACGTCTCCCCAGAGCAATTTCATGCAGCTAAAACAAAAAGAGACACAGCCACCTGTTTGTTGTGTAGTGAAAACGGAAAATCTTGAAAATCCCCCGGTTTTACGACAAGCAACTTTAAATTCCACCCAGCAGCATGCGGTTAATGTTCCAGCACAAGTCCTGCCAACTTACAAACTTACTCAAACGGGAAAATACTGATTTCTCTGACACACTGCCATCAAGTATTTGAAAAATTCAGCTACCACAGCAGTTAGAAATTCTTCCGATGTATTAATTCATGAGCGACGTTATGAGTTACACTTTTAGTTGAAATTCTTGGCAATATCCGTAACCGTTTGTGATGTAAACTCTGCACTGCTTTTTACATGATTTCTAAGATGAGTGAAACTACGTGCTTAGCAGAAGTTGCATCGGTTCTTACTGCCTATTAAACACACTCATCTCATGCCATGTAAAGCGAGTGTCACACAGCATTCTGTGCTGTTCTACAGATGATCTTGGCTCAACCATGACTTGCTTTGTGAAGCGGCAACTGATGCTAAATGTGCTGATACATACAGGCAACTTGATCCACTAACATGGTATCTGTGTGACGCTCATGATGCAAATGCACTCTTGGAGAGTGGTGACTTATGAGCCAATTTCTCATATGGGCTTATGCATATAATTAAACACTCTACAATGTTCTCAGCATATTTTTTTGCGAATGAAGCAATTTAGAACCAAGCTGTGGAAACGGGATGTTTGCAAGTACAAATTGGAGGAGCTGGAGGCAACAACGTGAATGACAGATAAAAGACAAATTCAGGAACTTTTTATGAAGACAACTGTTGCTCGGCATAGCCCTGTCATGATGAAATGACAGGAAGTGTGGACTTTTGGGGTAGTCCAAATGAATTTAAAAGCCCTCACAAAAGTCCCCTTTTCTTGTAAAGTTCAAAGGAGCATGAACATCAGCGTCACGTTTCTCACACATTTTAGCTTCAAGTGACACAATCAGCTTAGATGGAATACTGCTCCGTATGATTTGCTCAACCGTTTCCTGAAAACATCACGTGGAGGCTAAGCTGAAGAAACTTTTACATTTTTTTAGCAAGAAATGAAAAAGTCCATGATAGTCTCTCCGTTTGCAAGAAGCAGGTACACAAAAGCATGCATTGTGATTTGAAAAAGGAAGTGGCACACAGACTTGCTGGAACAAAAACAGTAACAGGAAACAGAGGACAGGAAGGCAACTTGAGGCACACGGTACTGAAAATGACAACTCGACACACATTTACATGCTTGTGTAGCATGCTTCGTTTCCATACAGTCATAATGAACATCAAAAGCAATATCAGAACTTATATTGTCTCTGAACGAGACTCATCCTGAAATGTTTCTGATATCATCTGAACACAGAAGGGTCGAAGACTGGTGCCCAAGCCCCTCAAAAAGTTCATATCGACAAGCGCCCTCTTTTGTTGACTGAAAATCCAAACAACCTAAGCGTGGTACCCTACATCACGGGTACCCACAGTCTTCAGTGTGAATACTGTAGGTTGGCAACATTTTACCAGCTTCCTGCACTCCGACTGATAACACCTGCTGTACTTTATTTACAGGGTGCCAGCAGGTGCACTTAAATGCACATTATATTTGCATGTTCAGGCACAGCAAGTCCATGAAGTCAACTGTAAGTGAAGTCAGATAACTGGGTGTTTGGAACACTTTTGGCAACCAAGACGGCGACCTGAATGTGGCCTGTTCTTGATGACTGTAGGGAAAAGAGGCTGCTGCATCTGAATCAGGCATCTGTGGCTACAGCTTTAATTCTAGCATATTGGGAGCCACCGTCTTGAATAACACCTGATCCAGACACTGCCTATGCTACAATGCCTTACCTGTCGACATGGGTGCGTCTTACCTGACTACATGTGTCCTACCACACTCAATGATGCATGCTCTCAACAATTGACTGATTTCGATGATTGGTATAAGCATGCTTGCTGCAATGTTGGCTACCTAATGAGACTACTTGGGCTGTACGTACTGCTGGCATGTCTACGTCTGACAAGTGAGGGCTCAAGAATCGGGACCGCATGGCTGACAACTGACTGACATCATCTTACCGTGATGGCAATCTTCTCGTTATCCTTCTTGGCCTGGGCCTTCATGTCATCCAGGTTAGGCAACTCCTGCCAATTTGAAAAAAAAAATGCATTTCCAACTGTTACCAGACTGAGTTGTGGTATCTACTGTAGGGGGGATTTGCACGGTAGCCATCTTGTAGGACAGTCTAGAGGAAAATCTCCTTTGTGCATACCCTGTGGAACAAGAAAGCATTGGCCTGCAAGATGGCAGCCATGCAAACCCTCTATACAGCAGGCTGCTGGGTGCAACAGCATCATTAAAAGTTTCTGCCAAGACATAAACTGGAGCAAGCTTTGCACTCAGTAAAACATACTGATTCGGTTGAAAAGGCTCCCTTTCAAAAAATTTCCATTTTTACACCTTAATCAATTCTTGAACAAATTTGACTCTTAGTACAATTTACTTATTTTCACATTAACTCCGGGAACATAGCCCTGGGTGCGACTCCACATTTTGCTGGACTCTGGAATTACAACCACAGCGCTGTATCTAGAACTTCTCAGTTGCATCACCATTGTTGCATTTTCATTTTAGTTTCCTGGTCTTTCCAAAGCACTTATTACATTTCAAACCTTCCAACCAATACCAAAATCTGACAAATTCTATCCATGACAATGGAGCCCAAAGTCTTGCACCGGATAAGCTTTGGAGATTTAAAGGCATAAAAAGAAATTGGTAAGCACTTTGAGAACCAATGTCTAGTCTGGAGAACATGCAATGGATGAAGCAATCTCTCCTGCAACATACATGTTGGACCAGTATCACCATGAACACATTTACTGAACGAAATGAAGCAAATTCCTCAATCAAACGGTAGCTGAGGACCAATCCAAAAAACCTCTATAATGACCAAAACATTCCTGAAATGAAAACAAAATTAAAGCAAGGCCCCATAATAATAATAATAAGCACATGCGAGATGTTAGTACAGGTAGTTAGGATTCTTCAATGCAACTGTAAATCCCTACCTCAGCGGTTTAACTTTTGACTTTTTCAGTTTGTTGTGTTGGTGCATATTGTTCACATGCAGTTATCAATCAGTGCAGTGATGAAAACTGATTATTTTTCTTGTCCCCTGAAAAACTTTCAATTCTGTCTACCAGTGTTACAGCCGACACATCTGAAGACCGTCACAACACCAACACAAGACATCCCGTCTCGAAAGCTATTCAACTGATCTGTAACAAAAACGTTCCTTTCTAACCGTTCCCCTTGTTTCTTGAGAGCGGTTTTGTGAGTGACCTTGTGTCATTTGGAGAATTGAGTATGCGCGCTTCAGTATTGTTGGCATACGTGCTTGTTTCCTTAAAAAAAAAAATAACTCCTGGCAGCATCGGAATCCTTCATGCAATGCATGCTGGGTTTTTTGTCGACATGCTTCAGACATTACATCCACATTACTCCTTACATTCTGGTCCTCAAATCACTCAACACTGTGTGACGCTAAGTCAGGATTTGTTGGGATGTCGGTTGTTGGTTTTTGTTACAATAAACCACTGGTCGAATATAGTTATTACCTTTTAACCATTCCAGAAAAAGTTATTAAATTACTTTGTTGGCGTACTCAGAAATGCCCCTTTATGTAAGATTTGGCAAATAAAGTACAGTGCACATGTAGTTATGCAGTTATACAATTCTTCGTGCCCAACACCAAGTGCCACCTTCCAAAATGGTTCCCTCTATGAAAATATCAACCTTCTCCCTGTTCCTGATGTCCTCAACAATTCAAAATAGAACCAGAGGATTCAACACTGCTATCCATGGTACCCATGCTACCAGTATCTCCAATGCATCAAATGCACCAAACAAAAACCTGGACTCTGGGATTCCTTACATGTCTCAAGTTCCGCAGGCCAGCGTACTGTCTTTCCAGACCCTTTTTAGAAATACATGAAGCTTCCAGGTGTAAATACATGTACCTGTCCAATTATGGCAAACTCTACACGCAACCTTTAGGGCAGCTATTAAGAATCTTTAAGTCAATGGGAGATAAAATATCGTGAGACATTGTCGATTTTATTTATGGTTTATAACGAGTGTTACAATTCGTCATTTTACAGAGCAAAAAACGTTTGTCAACAAACCGGATTAATCCTAACCTGCATCAAAATCTTCAAAAAATCTGAGCGGTTTTGGAGGAATTGGGACGATTGAGGCTGTAAGGCAAACACACGGCAGACTGATTTTGGGAGATGTACTGTGTCAAGTTTCAGTTTCAGTTTGAGCTTTGCCGTGCATATATTTACGTCCAGATTACACTGGAAATCAG